CTCCGAATCCGTGTACTTGCCATTAAACTGCACACTATGAACCTCTAATTATATTAAATTCCGAGTCTTGGCAACCGAGACGCGAATCCTTACATCGAGGCTTAGAATGATATTGATGACCAATCTATAAACGTTTAAGATCCTTATCTCTATGTAGGTTCAACCTGACTTGATGGACACATGAGACCAACTTCGACTCAACTGCAAAATGAACAACTACGCAAACTGGTCAACGGTTATTAAAGAAATGAAATACGGAATAAAAATGAAATACAAAATGATCAGTGATCTAAGGGTAAAATTTGGGGTATGACACATCTGCATCCATATAGATAGTTGTTACACTACTAAGTAGTTGTATCTCTACTTTTGCAGCAATGGGTTCTGTCCTGAAAAAGAAATGACAGTGCACTCTCTGCAGCTCGGCCTAGGGAAGGACAGACCTTCCCATGCACTTTATGCATTCGTCATTTGGTTGGACGAACCAACAATATTCAGTCTGCAACTCATCCTTTGGTTAGACGAGCCAACATTAAACACTTCATGCGTTCGTCCTTCGGTTGGAAGACCCATTGTTACGTTCTGAACATTTTGTCATTTAATTGGATGACCAAAAAAGAATCAGGATTACTATATATTCGTTCAGGTCTTGTAGACAGTCATCCAATTTACACAGTCTGTATCAAAAGTCATTCTTTTCAAAAAATTATCATAACAATGGCAAAGAGAAATACATTGGCGACCATGCACTATGATGGTTCCATTTTCACCGATCAAAATTTTGTTTTCTAATTCAATGATACAAATACGATGATGTTCAAACTTCATCGCAATTATGATATTCTTAATCTAAAAGAACGCATTGAAAAAAAAGGTGCAACACTCAGTTCTTGAAATTATTTACCGCCAACCATTACTTAATGCGGAAAATGGATGTGTGTTCTACGTGATAAAGCAGATAGATACAGACTAATCAATCATTCAATATTCTAGTGGCATTACACAATTCTTCATTTGAACACAATTGAGTTATATATTCGCCTTGATGACGAAGCATATCCAACACAATCATCTTATTTGCATCAGTATGGAGTGAGCCAAGCAACTGATGAAGAAATTATACAAAATAATGAACCTTTCATACCAAATGAGGAGGTTGGTGAATACAGTGACGATGAACTACAAAAAATTTGCTTTGAAGATCTTTTTGGTGATAGCGATGAAGAGGATGTTCTCCCCGTGCATTCCCAAGTAACAAATGCTCAACCCATTAATTTGTAAAATCCACCAGTGCACATGTCAAAGATATGTCTGGAGTCTTCTCAACCTATCTCTATTTTTGAAAACTACATACCAAACCGTATTGGTGACAACTTGGAAGTAAGAATGGTGTTTGAAAATAAGGAAGCGTGTGTTCTTTTTTTTGCAACATTGACATATAAGTAACAATCTTGAATATGGAGTATATAAATCTAATTTAGTAAGATATATAATAAAATGTAAGAACCCACAGTGCGAATTCACATGTAGAGTTGCATTGCGTAAAAAGAGCTCAACATGGGAGATCGTTACTATAAGCAGACCCCACACTTGCACAACGACTTCTATATCATAGGATCACAGAAAATTAGATTAAGAAATTATTAGCCACATCATCAGGGAACTTGTTAACATCAACGCTTCACTAAAAGTTAAAGTCATACAAGCTCATATTGCCAAAAAATACGGTTACAGGATCTCATACAGGAAAGCTTGGATTGCAAAGATTAAGGCCATAATATCACTTTATGGGAACTGGGAGACGTCTTACAATGACCTACCGTGGTGGTTGTTGGTGATGAGAACCTATCTTTTTGGAATTGTTATATAGTTGGAAACACTGCCAGTAATTACAGATGATGGAACCTAATTAGGCGACAAGAGGAAGTCTCACTGTCTTTTTTGGGCATTTCAATCGTGTATCCGTGGTTTTACTTATTGCAAACCTATTGTGCAAGTTGACAGAACATGGTTGTACAACAAGTACAAAGGAACTTTGTTGATGGCTGTGGTACAAGAGGAAACGGTAACATTTTCCCGATAGCATTCGCATTAGTTGAAGGTGAGACAAAGGATGATTGATTCTTTCTTAGGAATTTGAGAATGAATGTGACCCCCAGGCCAATCTGTGTCTCATATCCGACCGACATCCATCAATCAAGAGTGTTTACGATGTTCTTGAAAATGGAAAAATCCTTCATCTTCACATATTTACTGTATCAGACACATTGTGCAAAAAAACTTCATGTATGAGTTCAGAGACAAAGAACTATGGAAAACACTTGTCAACATGGGTATGACTCCATCTTCACATGTTTACAGTTACAATAAATATTTATTGAGTTATTCATTTTCAAATGTTTTACCTAACGTTTTTACTACAGGATATGCGTTGATGGAGGCAACGTTTAACTACTACCGGGGCGAAATACGAAGAACAAATAGAGCAGCTTTGAAGTGGATAAACAATATTCCCCGAGAGAAGTGAACGAGGGCGTTTAACGGAGGACAACAGTGGGGACACATGACAACAAATCTTGTCGAAGCAATGAACTCGGTACTTAAGACTACCAGAAACCTTCCTATTACTGCAATGGTCAAATCTACATACTATCGTATGAGATCACTGTTTGGAAAATAAGGCCATGATTGAAAAAAATGTTGGCTTCCGGTCAACCTTTCACGGATAACTGTAATAAGGTAATGGCTGAAGAAGTGAGTAAATCTAGCAGTCATAATGTCATCCAATTCGACCGCGAGAGATTCTGTTTTATGATTGTTAAAAAGATTAATCAAAATGGTGGCTGACCATTAGTTACTTTTAGCGTTAATCTCAGGAGAAAATGGTGCGATTGTGGGAATTTTCAAGCAATTCATTTACCTTGCTCCCATATAATCGCAACATGTACTAGCATACGTCAGGACCACAACATGCATAAAACAAATATTTTCAAGGTTCTGAGTGTTTTTAAAGTGTACAAGGAAAGCTTCCTTGGACTTCCGCACTACGAAATTTGGCCAACATATGAAGGATTTACTCTTTGCCATGACGAGACAATGCAAAGGAAGAAGAAAGGACGTCCAACTAGTACAAGAATTAGAACCGAAATGCACGATCTTGAGAAAGAAAAGAGAAGGTGTGAGATTTGTCGAGAAATTGACCATATGCGCAGAAAATGTTCAAATGCAGCAACCCCGTCAAATCGGCCCGTCTAGATTAACTTGTTTGTTTTTTTAATTTAAATTTCAATTATAAATTTAACTTAGTGGGATTTCAATTAATATAACTTTCATTTGTCTCATACAACTTTCATTCAACATTCGACAATATCAAAATAAATAAACCACAGCAAAACAAACAAGACGATAAACATTATAACGATTTAAAATCTAAACATGCCTAGGCTATTACAACCATCAAGACAATATTTGCTTGTCCATACATCATCATAACACATTTATAATCGTTTTTTACAACTTTCTAGGCCTTGTCATCTCCATCTTTAACAAGCCTCTCAATTCTTCTAATCTTTTCACCTTCAGAAATTTCTCCTTTTAACCATCTGACCAAACTTCTCTGAAAGTGCTCAAATGTCACTGTGTTTCACAGTCGGATCTTCAGTGATATCTTTATTGGAAAAAAAAGTAGTTAAGTATCTCTTTTGGTGAAAGGAGTATTTGGATTGGTAAAATGCTCCATTTTCTATGAAATTTTTCAAACTAAAATGACGAAACGGATGTGGATGATTTGAGATCTAGAGGTGCCCAAACAATGCTATATATAAAAAGTTTAAAAATAATAAAATATTTCCTGCTCGGCCAATGGATGGCCGAGTTCGGCTTATGAATGGCCGAACTTCTTCGCACAATTATTGATGTGCAATTGATAAAAATAAATTATATTTTAAAATATAATTATGGTATTAATTGGTGATATTTATTATAAAACTAATTTTATAAAAATACAAATGTTTTATTTTATTATAATATTATTTAAAAAATTAATTATTATTTTTTAATGTTATTATATTATTTAAATTATTTTTAAATAATTTACACAATTTTTAATATTAATTTATATTATTTATAATATTAATTATATTATAATATTTATTATATAAGTTTTATATATTTTAAAACATTATAAAAAAAAATTATTCAAGAATTCGGTTAATTATGATCGAACTCATGCCCGACTAAAAAATGTTTCCATAATTCGTCATTTCTTTGAACAAACTCATATTAAAATGATGATATTTTAGTATTTTTTTTTAACCTTGACATTTTGGTGCTTAGACATTGGTGTAAAAAAAACCGTTATAGAATCGCATTTCATTTCATTCAGGTTGATGGAATCGAGTATCTTATGTCTATATTTTGTTATCATGATTGTCTTCATTGTCACATCACATGTGAAATGCCGACATTGGTAATCGCAGACGTAGTGGTTATGGAAAATTACAACGAATGAAATTAAGTACGAAATTTCTCTTACGAATAAAGATAGAAACAATCCTTATGAATAATCATGAGTCAAAGACTAATCAATTAAATCTTTTAGCGCAGCATAGTAGTTGATCATCGAAAATGGATTGAATACCAACTTTTTTTAAATTCTTGAAGCTTATAGTCAACAAAATTCTATATTTAAAAACAAAGTAATTATTGTTGTGCTTATATTTTCTTTTTAACAAGTGTTTGAACTTGGATCTTTTCAACTTTTTAAAGCCACAAGTTTAACAAAGCATGCTACAAATCCTTCGCATAATACCAATTTATTAAACAAAAAATTACATGAGATTAGAACTTCATACTTCATAGGATGCAATATGAGTAATTCCAACACAACAACTCTTAACCCAAATCACAATTTTTTATTGTCCTTATAAAAAAACTCCACAAGCCACAAGCTCAACTAAAACATCTTTCGATACAACGCAAACACCATTCACTTCTCCATATCAGTTATCACTTCTATTAGGTTTATCCGAATGAGAATCCTCCTGAAACATATTCAAATAAAAGCAAGATAAATATAAACAAAATCTAGTTTCAGTAACATAGTAAAAATCTAAAATACCTCTGTAAAAGGAGCAGGAACCCAGTCATTGGTTGCTGGATTTCCCTTGCTAGACTGATGACATTCATGACTGTCATTATCCGGTTCTATGTGGAAGCTTGTGTCACTTTTTTCAACTTGAATGAATCCTTTTCCTGTCTGAGCTCAAAGTAAACATATTCATAGATTTGTGGGAAAAAAAACTTTGAATATTTTGAGAATAATTAGAAACAGTGGAAGTTAAAGTTATTACCGTGTGATGATGTTTGTCTACACTGTTGAGATCTTTGTAATACTCAGTTTCCACAAATTCTTCAGAAACTTCTTTTCCATTGTAAATCAATTTCTAAACAAAATTATCAACAAGCGTTTGTAGTCCAACGGTTAGGATAATTGCCTTCCAAGCAATAGACCCGGGTTCGACTCCCGGCAAACGCAAAGAGTTTTACGTTTTTTGTGAAAACTTATAATTATGTAATTACGAAACTAACCTTCTCGGCAGGATCTTTCTCAAGTCGTTGAAATTGTAGCATTTCTGGTTGAGAATGATCTGAGAGATTCTTGTCCACGTATTGAGAAGCGTATTCACTGCGTTGAGGTTTTGTGTGTCGTTTTGGTGCTGCTTCGTCGAAATGGTGTCTGGTTTTTGCTTCTATGGTTGCTTCTTCTTCGGGTGAGAGATGAGTGTCACTTCTGTTTGGCCTAAGATTCTCCATGTTTTGGGTTCAACTTTTGAGGTTTTTTGAGATTGTGTGTTGTGGATGGTTGGTTTTGTTGATCTGAGTTCTGGTTTTGTGTAATGAAAAGCTATTTAAGTTTGGTGTGTGTGGCAGATATGAAAATATTGGTTGAGGGGTTATATGAAAATATCTTGGAAATCTTATCCATTTGGTTGTGTGTTGGATCAAAGTGTTTGGTCAGACAATGCTATTTTTAGTATACAAAAAAAATAATTTGTTTTGAAAAAATGTTAATAAGTCACTTTTTACAATGAAATATTAATGCTATTTTATTATTTATTATTATTTCTTTTTTAGTAGTTTATCTTTCATGTTATAAATAAAAGATGATTTTATTTTATAAGAAAAAGTTAGTTTGTTTTCTCGATAATTTGTGTGAAATAACTAAAATATCATATCATTTGAAATAGATATGATAAAGTTTAAGTGAGTTGAATGTTGTAAACTTATTAAAATTAAGATTGATCTTATTTTAGCGTGAAACAAAAGATTGATGTGTGTTGATAAATATCTTTGTAGAAGTTCTTGAATACAATAATGTAAGTCTTTGGAAGGTGGTGCAGAGTGTGTATTTGCAACGTTAGCATTTTAACGCTCAAATCAGTGAGGTTAAAGATGTGTAGTTTGTGAGAGTGAATGAAGTTCTGCCTCTTATGACACGTAACTGGGCTTATATATGTCGACGGTTAGAACCATTTTTTTTGTAGGCGTGACGTGGTCTGTATGTGATAATTGGATTGAATCCAACAACTTCATATGAACGCGTAGTTTTCCTAGGGCGCATGGTCTCGTGGTGAGAGTACACTTATTCACTAGTCTTGAATAAGAGTATCTTGAATTTGACCTTTTATATTGAATCATTTGACCGATTAGAAACAAATTTTAATGTCCCATAAACGAAATTTTAAAACCAATTCAAATTTGATTTATGTTTTTACATAATATATAATATATAAGCAAACTTTTTTTCAACCGAATTAATACACCTAGTAGATTTTATTACAACACCTTTATAAAAAGTGACTTTTTTTACTCAGGAAATATTTTTAGTTAACAATGTTGTATTTTATAGATCAGGTTTAGGTTATAATAAGAGATATTATTACAATATCTTTGCAAATATATTCTAAATTCAATTTCATACGTTTCAAATTGATTGTAGAGAATATTATACTGGTGGAAAATATAATAAGATGAACCATGTGAAGTTTCCTTTGCCTCTTATGGTTTATATTTTGTTGTTTGTCATTTACCTTTTGATATTGTTCTTATCATTATTAAGCCTCCTCACATGATTACGCATCTTACGATTGAGTTCTTAGTCCATTTTTACGCATGCATAAATCAAAGTGTTTGATTATAGTATCAGCAATATGCTTCTAGTCAAATTGCCGAAGGTTTCAATCAAGAATCACATTTGAGAATGGTTCAAGTCATGTCTAGTTTGGATTCTGAAAAAACACTCATATTCTTATGTTCCTTGAAGTGTGACTCAAATCATAAGCTTACATGATTTAAATCATAGTAACAGTGAAGCCAATAATTGCTTATGTGAAGTCATGATTCGAGTCACGGATATCTTGACTCGAATCAAATATTTCTGAAAAGAAGAATTTTCTTCTATTTGTGTGATTCGAATCACATCAATTCGTTACTTGAAACGGAGAGGTTTAATTCAAATAACATATATGTTTGGCTCGAAAACACAAAAAGGTGATTTTGGATTTTGGCTTGGCAGATATGACTTGAATCAGACATTTTCTTGACTCAAATCATATTACTCAAATCACACAAAGCTTGACTCGAATTATCGTGTTAGTTTTCTTGACTCGTCTCATAATTTTTGCTTATGACTCGAATCAAATAACATGTTTCTCTCGTTTTTGTGCTATATATAAAAAAATTCTCAAATCAATTTCACAATGTTGAAAAACATACACATCAAGTTTATGGTTTATAATTCACAACACACTCTTTCTCTCAATTTTCAAAAGGGTTTTTAATCTAGTATTGAGTTTTAAAAATGAAATCTCTTCATCTTCAACCTCTTCTATCATCCATTCTCGTTTGGATCTATCTCTCATCTTAGGGTGTAAGATCTGTGGGGAGGATCATTATTGTTGTTAATGTTTTCTTTTAAGATTTCTTGAGGACTTTAGGGATTTCTATCTGTGTGTGTGGTTGTGGTTGGGATTGACAAATTCAATGGAAAATAAGGAGGTTCTTCTCTCCATAATTATTTTGGTAGAGCTTTATGGAAGCCTACATACAAAGTTGGAGTTTTTTTCATCTTTAGACAGGCCAAGGCTCAAGATACCAATATGATCGAGTAAAGATCGCTGCAAAATGGAGACTTATAGCATTATCTTAGAGCTGGAAGATTTAAGTTGAATTCAAGTGAAGGTTTTACAAGAGGCCAGTGTTAGATACTACTTTCAAGTCAACGAGGATTTGAATCGATGATTTTAATTTTCAGTGTGATTTGAATTGTAATTGTATAAAACAACTTTGTATAAATTTGGCAAAATCATAGTGAAAAAACAACATATTTTCAATGGACAACCATTTGAGACTGGATTAGGCGCAAGCAAGGACGAAAGCGTTGAACTAGTATAAATCCTAGTGCAATATTCTATATTCCTGTCTTTTTTAAAATTTATGTATAGTTTACATGTTTAGGTTTATTGCTTTCTTAGAATCACACGTTGTTAGGGTTTATAACATTAATAGTGATTTCGTTCCTATGTGTAGGTTTTGTTAGATTGAGACTTCAAATTGTTCTTGTTATTGATTAAACCTCAAGATTGTGATATTAGGTTTCTTTGTTGTATTGAAATTATTCTTTTACATAAATCGTGTAAAAAGATTATAATTCAATAAACCTAATAATTGATTTTTGTTGTTTATTTCATATAGTTTCAATTTTGTATGTCAATTGAGTGTTGTGTATATTTTGTCCAAAAACATATTTTTGCACGCACGTTTTTGCATCGCGTAAATAACTTTCAAACTCTAAAGTTTTGAAATAAACAATTCTTAATCGATCAAAATTTTTAAAAGGAGGTTTATTCAACCATATTCTATATTATTTTATTCTTATATTCTTTCCTAACACCATGCTCGCGTAAAGATAGTAAGATGGCTTTTAAGTATCCTGAATATTTGAATAGTGACTAATTTCCAATTACCCTATAGGATGAGATATTTTTAGTCACGGATTATAGGACAAGTTTGTAGGCTAAGGTTACAAAAAATATTCAGCATAGAGTGCAAAAACAAAATAAGGAAGACATTCAATATTCTATGGTGGATATGGTCTCCTCATTAAGAATGGACGTGCCTTATCATTCAAGAACTTGAGTGAACTTCTCGCCTTTAACCTCTTCCACCCCATCCTCTTAGACTTCAACCAGATTTCCATTTTTGACATCAGGGTCTAAGAGGAGTATTTTATCTTTATCCTTCTCAAGACCTTGGTCCATGGAAACAAAAACATCCTTATGGGCGTCCTCTAAATCAGCTTCGATCTGTTTCTTGGTATTAATATCAAATATGGTCGCTTATTTTAGGCTCATCACTTCCTCATTTAAATTTTAGATGGACTAGTCCTTTTCTTTTCTCTCTGATTCATAATTTTCCAAAGCTTATCAAACCTCATTGTACTTATTCTCAAGGGAGGATAAAGATCCATTTATCGACAACAACATTGATTTATCAATTTTGGAATTATCCTTCGTTTCTCGAAGTTTAGTCTTTAAATCACTATTGTAGCCCAAAATTTTTCCTCTCTTTTCCTAGCCTTAATTGGCTATTGCTTCACATCTAATGCATTATCCACTAGTTCATACATTCACAAAGATTCATGTGCATAAGATCCTAATACATGGGATCAAGGCCTTCTAAAGAATCAGGGTTTCCTATTGGGCTGGGGTTTCTACTTCACTGAAGATTAATTCAACTGGTTCTTTCATTGTGAAGTGAGGGTTTGAATTGTCATCATCATAAACATCTTCTTATCACGGTTCATCAAGTATCAAGGTTTTTTCCTTCAATATTTCCCAGAAGACTCGGGTCATCCACTCTTATAGTATACATCATGAGGCTGAGGATTCATTCCGAAGACATCTCGGTGTTAATATTTTTTTTATACTTCAAGCCTCATCTTAATCTTCAGGCTTTAGGGTTCCTTTATGACATTATTTTTGTGTGTTAGCCATCAAGGCATGCATATCACAAAGAACCGAGACATGGAATAAAAGATTATGAATTCATATTATGGTCAGGACATTGTTGCTCTCTCAGTTGTTCATTTGTTTATTGCTCATCACACCAATTGTTTATGGAATCAGGATGGTCACAATTAAGTTAGATTAAATCAAGGTTGTCAAAAATTTGGTTGAAAGTGGCAATTTGAAGGGATGTTGCTCCAAGGCTTTCAAAATTTTTTTTTTAAGACGCATAGGCTTGTAGATTGAGATCCTTTTGTTTTCATTTGGTTCACTTAGTTTCACAAGCCATTGTTGTCATTATTACCTTCACGTCGATTGGGAATTACTAAGAAACAGAAAATGAATACACATAATATGTTAGGTGTTGCAGTGAGAATCTGATATCAAGCTATTGATTAACTTGAATCTTAATTCATTGAAATTCACCACCGAGCTTTGGTTTATCCAAAGGAAAGGTTAAATAAAGAAAAACCTTTTGCGCGATGTAACAACAACGCTAAAGTTTCGGGGATCGGGGGTTGGTTATGCCTAGGGTAGTTATTCACATCCCAAACATTTGTAATACTCTACATGAACCTTTTGTATATATGTATGCTATGTTATCTAAGTTGTTGTTTGCTAGGGTCATGGGATCAAGGTTAAGGTAAAGTTTGAGGTAAAAACCTAAGGATAGTTCTAAGTTTTCTCGCAAAGATATTGCATCTTATGCCTACGTATCCTTACTAGGATGGAATCAGAGCAACCGTA